TTTTTTTTCCTCAGAATTCCCTGCCAGTCTGGAGGATTTTAAAACTCAGAAAAAATCCCATTTTTTTCCCAAAAAAGGCCCCAAATTCCCAAAATCCTGGCTCAAGAATCCCTACCTCTATGGGGAATTTAAAGACTCAGAAAAATCCCAATTTTCCCTTAAAAATGGCTCCAAATTCACCAAAATTTTTGCTCAGGATTCCCTGTCAGGCTGAGGGATTTTAGAACTCAGAGAAATTCCCGTTTTCTCCCCAAAAAAGGCTCCAAATCCCCCAAATTTTTGGTCAGGAGGCCCTACCCCTCTGGGGATTTTAAAACTCAGAAAAAAATCCCATTTTTTCCCCAAAAAATGCTCCAAATTCCCCAAAATCCCAGCTCAGGATTCCCTGCCAGGCTGAGGGATTTTAGAACTCAGAAAAAAAAATCCCATTTTCTCCCCAAAAAACGCTCCAAATCCCCCAAATTTTTGCTCAGGGGGCCCTATACCCCTATGGGGGATTTAAAGACTCAGAAAATTCCCGATTTTTCCCTTAAAAATGCTCCAAATTCCCCAAAATCCCAGCTCAGGATTCCCTACCACGCTGAGGGTTTTAAAACTCAGAAAAATTCCCATTTTCTCCCCAAAAAAGGCTCCAAATCCCCCAAATTTTTGGCTCAGAATTCCCAAAATTCTGGCTTAGGATTCCCTGCCAGGCTGAGGGATTTTAGAACTCAAAGAAATTCCCATTTTCTCCCAAAAAAATGCCCCAAATTCCCAAAATCCTGGCTCAGGAAGCCCTGCTAGTCTGAGGGATTTTAGAACTCAGAAAAATCCACATTTTCTCCCCAAAAAAGGCTCCAAATTCCCCAAATTTTTGCTCAGAATTCTCTGTCAATCTGGAGGATTTTAAAACTCAGAAAAAATCCCATTTTCTCCCAAAAAAGGCCCCAAATTTGGGCGCAGGTGCTGAATTTTTTCATTTTCGTTTTCTTTTTCTTTCTCAGGGCCCCAAAACCGCGGCGTTTCCGGTGTTTTTGGGGCCTCCGCATCCGCCAAAGGGGGGTGGAAATGCCCCAATTTTGGGGTTTTTTATCCCAAAAATCGGGGCTGGGTCGAGACTGGAAAGGGTTAAAGGGAAAAAAAGAGAAAATTTGGGGGAAATCTGGGAAAAAAACCTAAAAAATCCCAAAAATTGGGGATGTGAAAACGGTTCTGACCCCAAATTTGGTGAAAAAAAACCCGTTTTTTTCCATCACCGAACCCCAAAAGGGCACAAAAACCCCAAAATCCCAAAATTTTCCTGCAAATCCCCCATAAAATCCCCCATAAAATCAGAAAATGTCATTTTTAGGGGATGGAGGGGCTGTCCCTGCACTTTTCAACCCCAAAAATACCCCAAAAAAAACCCTTTGGGGTTTCTAATTTTGCTCCACATTCCCCAAATCCCAAAATCCCAAACCCCGACCCCAAATCGTTCCTGGCCCCATTTTTTTCTCCATTTTGTGCTGATAAATGAAAAAAAAAGGAATTTTTCCCCATTTTTTTTGCCTTATATTTCCATGTGAAAAAATCTTCAGATTTCCAGGAATGTTTCCATATTTCCGTGTGAAAATCTCCATAATTTTCAGGGATATTTCCATATTTGCTTTTTTTAGAAATTTTTTTCTTATTTTTTTTTTAAATTTTCTTTCTTTTTTTATCTTTTCTCTTTTATTTTCTTTTTCTCTTTTTTTAAAATTTTTTTTTCTCTTGGGTTGTCCCCGCCCTCAGCGCTTCCTCCTCACTCTCTTCCGGTCCCTCCGTGCGCAGATCAAACCCAAATTAATCCCGGATTAAACCCAAATTAATCCTGGATTGACCCCAAATTAATCCCGGATTGATCCCGAATTAATCCCGGATCGATCCCAAATTAATCCCTGATTGAACTCAGATTAATCCCGGATTGATCCCAAATTAATCCCGGATTAATCCCAGATCGATCCCAAATCGACCCCAAATTGATCCCAAATCGATCCCAAATTTGATCCCAAATCAATCCCAAATCGATCCCAAATTGATCCCAAATCGATCCCAAATTTGATCCCAAATCGATCCCAGATCGATCCCAAATTGATCCAAATTTGACCCCAAATTTGATCCCAAATCAATCCCGGATTAATCCCAAATCGATCCCAAATCGATCCCGAATCGACCCCAAATCCCGATCCCGGCTCCGATGGATCCCCCGATTCCCGAGGAAATCCTGGAGCTCCTGGAAGGTACTGGAAAACCCCTCCCAATCCTTTTTTTGGGGGAAAATCCTCTTTTTTGGGGTGGAGGGGCCGGATCTGGGGAGGATTTGGGGTTTTTGGGGTTTTTGGGGTTTTTGGGATTGCCCCGACCCCGATCCCGATGAAAATTTGGGGTCGGGGCTGCAAATCCGGGGGGATTTGGGGCTGCGCTGATGGAACTTCCCGGAGGTCCCAAAATCGGGAATTTTTTGGGATTTTGGCCCAAATCAGGTTCAGTCAAAGGTTAAAGGGCGGGAGAAACTTCTGGGGTGCTCTGAGCCCTTTTGGGGTCGGCGATTTTGGGGTTTTTTTGGTTTTGGGGTCTCTCTGGGGTCGCTTTAGGGTGGAGCTGCAGCCTCAGGGAAGCTCCAATCCCAAAATTTTGGGAAGAGTGGTGCTGACCCCAAAAAAATGGGGAAAAAATGGGATGGGACCTTTTGGGGTCACCCCAAACCCTCTGTGGGGTCGGGCTCAATGGGATTTTGGGTCTCCCCAAATCCCAGGATTATCCAGGTGCTCCCAAAGCCTCAAATCCCAGCTTAAACCCCAAATCCCGGCTTTGACCCCAAATCCCAGCTTTGACCCCAAATCCCGGCTTTGACCCCAAATCCCAGCTTTGACCCCAAATCCCAGCTTTGACCCCAAATCCCGGCTTTGACCCCAAATCCCGGTTTTAACCCCAAATCCTGGTTTTAACCCTAAATCTCTCCTTTGACTCCAAATCCCGGTTTTAACCCCAAATCCCCACAGAAATGGGGCTCAAACCGCCCTCACCTCCACTAAAAAAACCCAAATTTTATGGGATTTTTATCTTTTGGGAAGGAAAGCCCACATTGATCGCCCTAAACCCAACCTGGGGGGGAATTTGGGGTCTGAACCGGGCTTTAAGCCCGTCCTAAACCCCGCAGATTTTCAGTCCCACGCTTTTAGGGCGCGCAGGAAGCGCCTGCGATGTTTTTTTTCGGTTTTGGGGTTTTCAGCTCTCATTTCTGGCAGCAGCAGCGCTGGGCCCCAATCCTTTCCCCTCCAAAACATCAAAAACTCTTTTTTTTAAAAAAAAAACCTTTTTTTTTTTTTTTTATTTTTTTTTTTTTTAAATGAGGGGTTTTTCACGTCCCGGGGTGAAAATTGATCCTAAAAAGGTTCCGGGGGAGGAGMGGACTCGGATCCGTCAGCTCCCGGAAAATCCCGGGGTTTGGCCGAGTCCAGACCTGAAAAAATTCACTTTTTATCCCCCAAAAAGGCTCCCAAATCCCAAAATTCGGGCTCAGGAGAACCTCCCTGGCTCAGGGGATTTAGGACACAGAGAAATCGGGGTTTTGTCCCAAAAGGAGGCTCTGAATTCCCGAAATTCCTGTTTAGGAATTCCTCCCTGGCTGAGGGGTTTAAGGACACAGAGAAATCCATTTTTTGTCCCCCAAAAGGCTCCAAAATCCCAAAATTCGGGTTCAGGAGACCTTTCCTGGTTGGGGGGGTTAAGGACAGACAGAAATCCGGGTTTTGCCCCAAAAAAGGCTCTAAAATCCTGGTTTCCACCCCAGCATTCCCAGTTTCCCACCCTGGAAATCTCGATTTTCCACCCCAGTTTTCCCAGTTTCCCATCCCAATTTTCCATCCCAGTTTCCCATCCCGGAGATCCTGATTTCCCATCCCAGTATTCCAAAATTTCACCCCAGTATTCCCAGTTTCCCACCCTGGAAATCCCTATTTCCAACCACAGTTTTCCCAATTTCCCATCCCAGTTTCCCACCCGCCATTCCCACTTTTCCATTCCCAGTTTCCCACTCCACCATTCCCAGTATTCCCAGTTTCCCACCATTCCCATCATTCCCAATATTCCCACCCCGCCATTCCCATTTTCCCAGTTTCCCATGGCCATTCCCACTATTCCCACCATTCCCAGTATTCCCACTTTCCCATCCCCGTTTCTCATCCCAGTTTCCATCCCAATTTCCCATTCCCAGTATTCCCACCACTCCCACTTCCCACCCCCCCATTCCCAGTTTCCCATCCCAGTTTCGCACCACCATTCCCACCATTCCCAGTGTTCCCAGTTTCCCATCTCAGTTTCCCCACTTTTCCATGCTCAGTTTCCCATCCCACCATTCCCAATTTCCCATCATTCCCAGTTTCACATCCCAGTTTCCCGCCATTCCCATTTCCCCCCCATTCCGAGCATTCCCACCATTCCCACTCTGCCATTCCCACTTTCCCACCGCCATTCCCAGTATTCCCACCATTCCCAGTTTCCCAACCCAGTATTCCCAGTTTCCTACCCTACCACTCCCGATTTTCCACCCCAGTTTCCCATCCCAGTTTTCCCACTTTTCCATTCCCAGTATTCCCACCATCATTCCCAATTTCCCACCATTCCCACTTTCCCACTGCCATTCCCAGTTTTCCCAGTTTCCCATCCCATCATTCCCAATTTCCCACCATTCCCATCATTCCCAGTTTCCCATTCCCACTCTGCCATTCCCAGTTTCCCATGGCCATTCCCAGTATTCCCAGCCCCCCATTCCCACCATTCCCACCATTCCGACTATTCCCAGCATTCCCAGTATTCCCACCATTCCCAGTATTCCACTCCGCCATTCCCAGTTTCCCACGGCCATTCCCAGTTTCCCATCCCATCATTCCCAATTTCTCACTCCATCATTCCCAGTATTCCCCTCATTCCCAGTTTCCCATTCCCATTCCCACCATTCCCAGTTTCCCATTCCCATTCCCACCATTCCCAGTATTCCCATCATTCCCAGTTTCCCATTCCCACTCCGTCATTCTCCATTTCCCACAGCCATTCCCAGTTTCCCATCCCATCATTCCCAATTTCTTACTCCATCATTCCCAGTTTTCCCACCATTCCCAGTTTCCCATCCCACTTTCCCATGGCCATTCCCAATTTCCCATCCCACCATTCCCCGTTTCTCATTCCCACCATTCCCAGTTTTCCCAGTTTCCCACCCCACCATTCCCAATTTCCCACAATTCCCATCGTTCCCAGTTTCCCATTCCCATTCCTCCATTCCCAGTTTCCCATCCCACCATTCCCACCATTCCCACCATTCCCAGTATCCCATTCCCAGCATTCCCACCATTCCCCGTTTCCCACCATTCCCTCTTTCCCATCCCACCATTCCCAGTATCCCCACCATTCCCAGTATTCCCAGTATTCCCAGTATTCCCAGTATTCCCGTTTTTTCAGCCTCCGAGGATTTCCTGGCTCGGGATCTGCGGGAGGAGCTCCTGGACGCGGCTCTGGGGGAGCGTCGGGCGCGGCTCCTGCTCGGCTTCCGCCGCCTCAAATCCCGGTCGGTGCTTCCAAAATCCTCCAAAAATCTGGGAATTTTCATCCCCGTGGAATTTCTGGGATTTTAGGGATATCCCGGGGTTGGGATAACGGGAATGCGCCGCGAAATTCCCATTATTTATTCAAATTTTAAACTAAAAATCGCCGCATCCGTCCCAAAAAATGACGAATCCCAAAAAAACCGGGATGAGATTCCGCGGCATTTCCAGGAATTTCACCCACAAAATTTCCCCTTTTTCCCAAAATTTTTGGGATATTTTTGGGGTATTTTTGGGATATTTTTGGGATATTTTTTGGGATATTTTTGGGATATTTTTGGGATATTTTTGGGATATTTTTGGGATATTTTTGGCTTTTTAGGATCCCAAATCACCACAAATCCCATCGATCCTTCCTCAAAAACAAAAAAATAAAAAATGGGGGAAAAATCCCGTCCTGAAATGGCAGAAAAATCCGATTTTTTTTTGCGTTTTCCCTGTGATTAAATTAAATTTTTATAAATCTCTCCAGATTTTTAGGAAAATCCTGATTTTTATGATTTTTTTCCATTTTTTTTTTTTCAGGTACCACCTGGAATTCCCTTCCCGAGGTGAGTTCCTCCTTCTCTTAACCCCAGAAAATTCCCGATTTTCTGGAATAAAGGACAATCGCTGGGAAAGGAGGATAAAACGTGATTGAAAAATTGGGAATTTTATTCATTAAAATGATTTAAAAGTGTGGAAATTTAGAGTAGGCCTTGGTAGGCCCCAAGGCCTGAGTAGGCCTCACCTCTTTGTAGGCCTCATTTAGATTATTTTTGGAGCATTTTTTCATATCATTTTTTATCTCTTTCTGGATATTTTTTCATATAATTTTATCTCCCTTTTAATCCCTTTTTATCCATTTCTCAGACCCCTTTTTTTAACTCTGCCTCTGAGGAAAAATCCAAATCCCAAAAAAACCCCAAAACCCCCCAAAAACACCCAAAAAAACCCCCCAAAAATACCTCAAAAACACCCCAAAAAAACCCCAAACCCTTTATTTTCACCCCCAAATTTCACATTTTCACCCCAAAATTTCTCCTTTCCCAACCCCCGTTGGGATTTAGGGCCGAATTTCGGGATCAGCAGCAGCAGCAGATGGGAATTTTTATCGGGAATTGTTTGGGAAGCGCTGAGTGA